TACTCTAGATATTTTTATTAATCTACTAGCTTATATTCTGATTTCACGCACTTGACTATGTTTTTTCTTTCTCAAAATGTTCACCAAAGCTTTGTCAATAAGAACTTTTCATTGGACAATAAAGCATATTTATTATTATCATTATTATACTGGTACATCATTGTATGGCAAATTCGTGGACAGAACACTCAAAAAATGGTGGAAAACCGCGGACACGTGTTTCTGGGTATTGGCCTCATCAGCGCGGTGCTGATGAGGCCAATATATGTACAATAACAATTTTTTACCGAAAATCACATGTAATATTTCTCAATCGACAAGAAATGTTGAAAATGACTACCGCCCTCTCTGATGCAAGAATCCAATCAACAGATTAAGCAGGTAGAGAAACGCATCTTGAATAAAATACAGAATGTGAAAATTGAATAATTATCATCATGGATACAAAAAAATATACGATTTTGTTTTGGAATACGTATATTCTTTCATTCTAAATTTATTTCAATTGGAATTTTTTTTCTCTTTTCATTCATCCATGCTACTCTCGTCTTACGGAAAGACAAGGAGGAACTTCGAAAGTATTTTGTCTCTAACGTTATAATCCTCACTTATGCAGAAAAAATTTTATGAGCTAGCTCCTCCCCACTTTCGTCAGTGCATCAACGCATATAATAAATAATTCTGCACCTCATGCAATTCTCATAGTCTCTAGCACGAACTACAATGAATCTTCATTTCTATTGCATTATTGTCATACATTTATTCAGACTGTATAAATGTTCTGACTTCGATCAATTCGTTGATTATGTAAGTGATAATTTGAAATACAGTGAAGGGTATATTCCTCGAAAAAATAACAAGGATTCAGTGGAAACTTGTGATTCTTCTGTCCATTGTAAGTATTTTATTCGATGAAAATATCAAATTCTGAATGCTTTTTGCATTCACGACGGGATCAATATTGAAAAAACAATTTTTGTTAAAGATATAAGTACAAACTTCGTTCAAACTATATTGAAAGTGTAATAATAGTTTTTGTGAAATCGAACATGACAGATAGTTGGTTCAGATATTTGGATAGTTGTGATGAAAATTAATCATTCATTTATAAAACTCACTGAAAATATTCAATAACAGAAACCATGAGATCAAAATTGAATACAAGTCAGTAATTCGATTGTTTGAATTTAAAATCTATATTATATTGTTGAGAATACAAAGGTCAATGAATGTATTGAGTATAGATAGATATGAAAACGAATGAAGAATTCAAGAACTACTTATATAGCCAATACTGCCACAACAAATTATTTCAGCAATTTCGTTTGGAATTCCATAATACCACATAATGTGAATTACAAAAACAACAACAAAACTGGATTTTTATAACTTTGAGTTGTAGCCTTTGTGTTTTTTCTTCAACAATAAATTATTTTTATTCATGCTATTTACATCATAGTACTCCTCAGTCTAAGAATCATTATATTTTATCAGAGTTTTCCACTTATGTTTCGCTTGCGTTTACGCGGCTATTTTTATCAAGTACTTTCTTGGTTTTTTCTCATTTTGTCTTCAATCGAGGACCGCCTGCCCGGTACTGACGATGCCCAATAGGCTGAAACAGCTGTATACCGGTGGCTCTTAAATTGAAATCAATATGGGAATGATCAAAG